TATAAAACACTCGTGATTGAGTGGTAAAGTCAATGAAGATCTCTGAACAACTCTTTAGTAGTTATGTACACAATGTGTTTTGCAAAAAATAAAAAAAAATATGAATATGACGTAGATTTCTGTAATTCTTTTTCAAAATGAATAGAGTATGACAAAAATTGTTGATGAAAATAATACCTAATTGTCCTAAAGATAAGATACTTACTACATAAATATAGTAGGTAATCTTGATCTCGAAGAAATATTTATTTCAAAAACATTTCTTGGAACATTTTGGGATTCCGATATTATCACTGTGACGTGTACCAAACCCAGTGTTGTGTAACGATAAAAATTGCGATAAGTGCCAAGAAATGTTTGTCAATTCGCAGGAAAGTGTACTAAAATAACTGATGCACTGAATCTGTATCTAAACGTTTATTTAGATCTAGATTTTTATTAGATTTAGATCTGGCTCGAATTTTCCTGGTTCTGTCGGAATATCAAAAAAATCAGGTACCTAGCATAAAGTAAATATTTCAATAGCGAAGTAATAATCGAATGTGATCATAAGCTTCAGAGACGTCGCGGAGAACCTAACGGGTAATCGGGGCTACGGCTCGACGTGCAGGAGAAGGAACGGGGTGGTTTTTAGTCAGTAAGAGTCTAACACTCCCTTCCGCCTCACCCAGGCGGGAGCAGCCATTCGATGATTTTCCCCCCTTTAAAAAAAAAGCTTCAGAGACACCGTGAAAAACAGTACTTACAAATTTCTTTTTACTTCAGACCTCATTTATAGACTTCATAAATCCACCATCTTCAATTACTCACTACCTTGAAACTACGAGATTCAAAATAAACTACTTAATAGCTAAGCAATTGATGAAATTATTTTCGTATTTTTTATTACTTGGCACATTGCCTTAGTTATGATTTCATGGTACATTATAATAATGTAGTCTAGAAGTCTTGATGAATCAATGTAATGTAGTCTGCAGTATGTTTTATTAGTGCCCGCGTGACCTGCAGTTTATTGTTTTAACGAATCTTCCCTATATATCACGAGAATATTATTTAATTCATAGTGGTTTTTTTAAATATTAGGTACCCTACACTAATATTTTTTCCTAAGTCGTGGGTGCAAACATATCTACAATTTGGCATAAACATGATGCCCAGGCCCGAAACAACAATTTGTGGATCACAAAAAAGTTGCAAGACAGAATGATAACAATGCAATGGTTAATGGTTTTTCGATATTGCGATAAGAGATGAGCCTATTGTTAAACAGTCCAATCAACTACAAGACCACTAAACGTAAAATTCTACCTACACAGAAGAAATCCTTTAGGTTATCTAGCCTACGTGCCACCATACATCAGTACCTACAATCGTTTCCATCGGTAAGGTAACCTATATAATTTACATAACGTCGACGTCCCTCAAATTCTCGATGATCGCTGGGGACCTGTTGCCAATATTTAGTGTTTACCGATGCACGTCTGGAATTGGGTCAGCTTGCTTTGACGACCTGCCGTTTGACTACTAGAGTAGGTATTGCCCAGAGATCATTTATAATATTACAAGTTGGTGCTTGAGCATCTCTCTTTGGTCTATTGGCTGTCAGAAATTTCAAAGCTTAGGCAGGTGAAGGTATACGTTTTGGAGGTAGATAGATAATGTTATACCTTCAGGTGATACATAAGTTTTAATGATGATTCCGATGATGATAGAAAAGGTAGTAGCCGAAGTTCAAGAGATTTTAGCATCACCAAGTTATTTATATCCTTGTCCCTCATTATGATGTATTAAAACAGGCTATAGCGAATAAGTCTCAGTAAATATATTTAGATTTTTAACACATTGGATGCCACGTAGGACAATGATGACCGACGTCAGGGGAGGATTGGCCTTTAGCAGTTTCTGTCGATGTTGAATAGACCTGAAATTAGTACCTAATCATTACAAATGTTTATGTAACAACGCCCTTACGTCTTAATAAATTACAAACAGGAAACCATTTCTAAAAAAAGTCAACCTCTTTCGAGTATTTTTAGATCCTTTGCAAAATTTTCGTGGAAATTGTCTTGTGTAGTCAAAGGTTCTCAGATATTTCCATAAAGAATCCTTAGAAAGAAACGAATTGTTCTAAATATTTAGGAAGCCTGCGAGTTTCCGACTTCAACGGCTCTTTAAGCTTTTGTTCGTCAAATGAGACTTTTTGTTTCGTAATTATATTTATTTAGCTGAGCTGGAGTTGCTCTTGTGTTCTCAAAAGGTATAGAAGAGGCTAGACATTATCTATTATATTTATTTACGTTCTTTGGTCTACCGTAATTATTATTACATGATCATGGTAAGGTAAGTGACTAACTAAGTAGTATATTGACATCATTTTAACAAACTTATATTTTGCGATAAAGAAATCTTTCCTTATATTATGAACCTCATTTAGATTAGGTGGTGAGTTTTCCGTATACACCAGGTATAATTCCATTCTAAAAAGGCCCAAACATTATTTATTATACGTACCTAATTCCGCGTGAGGTCTAAGTTCCGACCTCCACAAAGATCTACGGCAAACAACCTAATCTGATACTTAAGCGTGTTTACAAGAAAAATCACAACTTTCCCTAAACACATACGATTCACAAACACAGTACCGTGATCACCCACTTAGAAACAAATCTTCTAAATGAAGAACAAATATGCCTATATTTGGAAGCCCTTTGGGTGGCTCTGAACTTTTGTTTCTTTGTTAATGTAATTACTACTTTATAAGTATGAAATTAGGATGTTTATTTAATTGGGGTAAGTGCATAACATCAAAAAATATTAGGTTAGGATAAGTCAAAAACGGCTGTAAAGAAGATGAGGAGTATCTTTAACACGTCAAAAGAATATAGTGCCTAAATTATAATAATTAACCGAAGAGTCAAAAAAGTATGGTTTATTAACGTAAACTATTAGAGGGTTGATCGACTAGTTTCGAATCATATCGGATCATGAAGAACGAGCTTGAAGTACGAAAATGTTACGATTATAACGCAATGTGCTCTATCGTATTCTAGAACTCTATCAAATATAGAACAAAATATAGAACAAAGCTCCCATTTCTGGTAGACTGTTCGACTGTTCCATTTGAATCTATCACTCCATAGATTGTGCATTACACACGGGCTCGGGATGTTGAATGTCACCAGTTGTCTCATTACCGTTGCGGGCACGTTCGTAACAAGACGCGTGACAGACGTGGCGTTCGATACCAGCTTCTTACTACATTTTAGCTGAACGAAATGTAATGTACCGACCGAACTCCGTAGCACGTAGACGACCTTTCGTAGGCTGATGTTTTCTCCTATTTTGGTATTTGTTATTCGCTTTGTATTCAGCCGAAATGTTAGGTGAATGTAAGTAAGAAAAATGGAGCTGTTCTTTATTAGGTAACTATAAACATGCTGATCTCATGTAACTATTTATTTTTATGTTTGAATGGTGAGAACCGAAGGAGGAAAATAAATATAAATCAGTCCAAACTTAGATTTTTTTGCAATAAACAAATCTCTTTCATCTCTAGACTGTACGTAATACATTACTCTATTTCTCACTTTGTATAATTATTTGGAGTATATTTGGCATTCGCCGACATCGGAACACTGTACAGAGTATTTATATCAACTACTGATTCACTGGTTGAAAATATGTACCTGCCTACTTTTTATTTTTACATTTCAGTGAAAATGGCTAAACAAATCTTTGGCCTTAGCCCAATTAGAAGTAAATCATCGTTTAATATTATTATTTTCTTCTGATACATGTATTTTTTATGCATTAGTTTAGTACTAATTTAGAAAACGTGTGAGCTCAAACGTTTCACATAAGCCGTAAATGAAATGTTTGTAAGAAATGAGTTAAATATTGATCATGGTCAGTATATCAGAACCAGTACAATACCAACTTGTATTCAGATTCAAATTAATTGTTGAATAAATCTTGACATTAAATCGTCCTTCCAAATAAATAAACTTGTTTATTCAGCAAAATTTTGAATTAAAGTGGGAGATATATTTTCAAACTTCATTACAATATTTGAATTTGACTTTTGTTGGCCTCCTCTCAACCCTTCATCTTTAGCTGTGCTTCGCCGAGTAATATTCAAGAATTAACTATTCTGAAAGACGTGACCGATTCTAAATGAACGCCTTACGTCATCAACCTCAGTTGAATTTCTTTTATGTGCGTCAAAGTTCAAATACTTATGATGAATTTTGATGGGACTCAGCTACACTGGGTCGCAATTTATCATCGTCTGAATGACATCCATAATTATCTTGTCCTTACGTAGATCTGTGGCATGACCCAATTTAAAATATAACGTCACGTCTTAAAAAACATTATGTAACTAAATTCTAAGTGGGCTTCCAAATAATGACTATTAAATTGGATTCTTGTTTGAGTAGGGTCTTTACTTAACATAATTTGGGTAATATTACTTGCTCGACATTTTTATCATTCGACGGTATACCCATCAATTTACTACGGAAACTACTTGAATTATTAATTTTCAACTCAATTACGATAATTTATTCGTAAGACGGATAATTTTGAGGCTACATGTATCTATAATTTACTGTACTTCAAATAGGTACTTGTCCTCGTTTTGTTTTGAAATCAGTTACTCTGGTTGTTTGCAGCCTTACTATACTAATATTATAAATCGGAAAGTGAGTTTGTTTGTTTATTGGTTTGTTTGTTCCGCTTTAACGCCGTAATTACTGAACCGATTGCTTTGAATTTTTGCAGACGTAAAGTTAGAAGTCTGGATTAAAATAAGAGGGTACTTTTATCCCGAAAAATTTTGGTATTCTCGAGGGAAAACGAAATTATTGGTATAGATGGCGCTGTGTGTATTAGCATTTATGTCACATAGGCTTTTTATCTTTTTGTTATGCGTGTGAAGCCGTGGGTAAAAGCTAGTATTAAATAAATATTTCTTTATTAATTAGATTTTTTTTGTTCACAGGACCAGGAAGCGAAGGAGGTGGCAGTAGTCCCCAAATGCTGTCCAAGTGGACAGAACCTCACGGTGGAGATCGTTGATGGGACTGTGAAGACAGTCTGCTCCCGGTCTACATTGACTTTCCAGCCAGTGTTCCATCAAGCGAATGAGACTCACATCTTCAGTTATGATACTAACGTTTACGAGACCCTTGTCGGGAACCCATGCCGCTATGAGAAGTAAGAGTCGTTCTTATTCTTAGTATTTATATTAGTTTAGTTTTAATAATTTGTGTGTAACTTTATATATACGTTTTCAAATTCCTCTTATAATATCTTCTGATTCACTTCGTTGCGGGAACCAAGACAGTTATTCATGTCCCTGGGACGCGCCGGACTTCAATGTTCCGGTGTTTTCATGATTGTATCTACTGTAGATCCTGGCTTACAGGAGTTGCAGCGGTTTTGGGAGGCTGTGGCGGGCTTGTCCCTTAAAAAAAATATACGTTTTCACCATGCTCCCTTAAATTCTAAATTCTATCTAAATTCTTAAGGGTTTAAGATAAGATTCTTTATATTTAATGATATTTATTGATATTTTGTGTTTCATCAACCTATAAGTGACGCCTAACAGTACAAGCAAGGGGTTAGTTCAGACGGCTACGTCAAACTAAGTAATATTTAGTTAAGAGATGGTTTAGGGGTGAATCGTGAAAACGGTCACAATATGCCTAATTTTTTAATATCTCTACTAAATGGTGTCATAAGTACACATCCGTTTACGTAATAATCGCATAGCATTCAACATTTTTACTTATCATTTAAAGATAAAGCATAACAATTTGCAGAAATGACTAATAAATAATCACATTTGATTGGGGACTACCCAATTACGATAATGGTGATAAGCCTTGTCCAATGTTTAGTAATCTTGTGTAAGAGATTTTTCAAAGTGCCTGAGCTTATAAGAAAATGTAGACCCATTTCTTCATCCATTGAATTGTGAGTTTGGTTTCAAAACATGTGCTGTACACACGGCCACACATCAATCTATACAAAACCAGTTTATCCTGGTGTCGCGTCGCATCATCTTTCCGCACATTTAACGTTCAGTTTATACTGGTTATGTAAAGCTCGATGAGTAGCCGTGTTCACCAAAATCAATAGAGGAATAAGCTTAATTAATTGGATCTGGGAGTTTGTGTTCGTTTTTATTGACATGTTTAGGTTTTGTTTATTGTGTGCTTACAAATGGATTTCTTGCAAAGCTTTAGATTTTAAGTAATTTACTGGTTTTCATTAAAATAAACAAAGTTATAGAGAGACAGCTAAAGGTTAGGTTTATTGTAGATATACCATACTTATATGACATGAGCATTAATCGAAAAGTGAAAGTACACAATTCATGCATTTGCAGAATTGTTCTAAGTGAAATGTTACCCATGGCGCAAAATTATAAAGGAAATTTTCAGAAAATGTACATACATACCTACATGTAAAATATATACGTATTTTATGTATGCTTTTGATACCCTTTTATTAATTTGGATAATTACCACTATTCCTCATAACAGTTTTGCAGCTTACCACCTACCACATACATTTCTGCACTACCCAAAAGATGACTGGCAGAGAATGCTGTTAGCATTAAGTCTTCCTTATGCAATTGTATAAAACTTAAATAGAAAATAGAAATAGAATATACTAATGATTATTTTTTATCCATAGGTACAAACTAGAACCAGATATACACAGTGAAGATGAGTTTTACCTTCTGGTGAATGGGTCTCTCTTTGTCCCGTACTCAAGACCTTACCTTCTCGGTACACGGGATTATTGCATGGAGACATTTTGGAACGAGTCGACACCAGCTGGAGTTACTCTACCAGTTGTTTGCTTTGATACTCCTATGGAGGACACAAAGACATCATCTACACTCATCGCCTATGCTACAGGTTTGTATTTAAAGAATCATAGTAAACTTTAATATCCCGAATATAAGGTTTCTTTTTCTTCTACTCGAATGATAATCAGTTGATTTATTTCATTGCCAGATACATACATATTGTTTATGTCGTTCGTTACTTTTTTGTAGTCGGTCGCTGGTAGGCATTGTCTTTGTCTATGTTCCATAGAGTTGTAGTAGTTGGGATTTGTGAGGCATTATCATATCGTAATCATAAAATAAATTCCGGAAATAAAAATGCAAATCTTACAATTATTATGAAATATTATATCACAACTAGAAGAATGTCTGGCTATGTTATCAAATTCTTTATCTACCTCTATAATTTATTATATGCAAATATTTAAAATGATTTATCTTTATTATCCGGATTTCCTTTTTAATTACTGATAAAATGCAGATTTCAAGCGATAAGATGATAGTCAAAATCAAGGTTTCTGTTTTTAATTTACGTATTATTTTTATATAAAATGACAATATTTTATAATTGTATTTTATATACTGATTAATGTTTTTCATACAATATTTACGTAAACACAATATAATAAGTAATTTCCCATGTGATTCTCTTGGGAATCAACAACTGTGTGTTTTCCGTCCCAAATAAATACGAAGTTGATCATTAATTGATTCCACTTTTTCTTGTTTTGGTACCAACAAGAACAAATTGTTAACTTTGTTTCGAAGACTCTAGTTACCGAGTTACATAACTATTTGATCGTTGTTGTAGTTCTCGAAGATTTTTACAACTTTCCCAGCCATTTATGTAAAACTTATTTGTGTAAAGCATAATAGGTTTCATTGAAGAATTTGTACCCCAAGGCGGGGTTGAGGGCAAGAAATATAAATTGTAGGTACTTTAATTAATAACATCTCGTTATTCAATTTTGTAAGGAGCACTTTCCAATCCTTCTGATCTTTATTGAAATCTAAACAAATATGAAACGTTTAGTTAAGTGAAATTAAATAAGACTCAACTTCAAAGATATTATCTGATCTTGTTATTGGTATTTATTTATTTCTATAAAATAATACTTAAATGTAAGCAGTTGTAAATAAACGGCAGCAAAGAGCAAAGTAGCTACCATAAACTGGAAACTTATTAAATGGGTTTTTTAACTACATTGCAAAATAATACACCTTAAATCAATAAAATATGACGAAATGATGTAGGTTGACCTACATGATACTTATTTCCAAAAACTAACCTGATCTTTTTTCCAGGGTTGCTAATATCGGTACCGTTCCTATTGGCGACGGCCTCAGTGTACCTATTCATCACGGAGCTACGAGATACTCATGGGAAAGCCCTGGCTTGCCACACCGTGTGTCTGGCGCTGGCATTCACATGCTTAGCAGCCACACAGCTTGCTGGCCATGCATTCCCTGCTGCTGCTTGTACTGTTATGGGTAAGTTGTGAGAATAGTCATCATCATCATCAATCAGTTTCAATCCGTGTTTCTCTAATAGCTATTTAGTATGTTCTTCGTGTCTTCTTAACCAACTACTGCTAGTAAAAGTAGTTTTAGCCAGTAATATTGAGTGTTACCTAATCTATTAGACACTATATACTACCATAACTTTTGTTTTGGTAAATACATTAAGAGGTGTAAAGATAAAAACTAATCTATGGACTTTTGTTATACCAAAGTTTTCAAGCTATTTCAGCTGCTGTAATGTCAATGTTATGTTTCGATGGAATAAAAACTGTTACCAATTAATTAAATATCTAATCAAGGTGACAATTGCTAGATTTAGGTCGTTTCCAACCGGCTCAATCTGGAAATTATTGAGGGAGCTCTATATTTAGCAGAGGACAGCTTGTGGCTGATAGGTTGATGATGACGAGAATTGGTCATCTTATAGAATGACACAAATATATGATATCTAACAAATAATTTTGTTACAGCATACTTGATACAGTTTTCATTCGTGTCATGTTTCTTCTGGCTGAACGTGATGTGTTTCGATATATTCTTGAATGTTCGGTAAGTACTCCGTCTCCATTGTTAAATATAACGATATTAAATGTATCGTTATTACATTTATTTCTCGTTACTTTATGAGCTACTTCATCGAGCTTTTAACGGTTATTATGTTAAGTGTTTACGTGTGAAGTATTCGTAAGTGATATTTCGAAAATTGTGTCGATTATTATTATTTTGTTAGGTTGCTTTGTTACGCCTGAATACCTTTTTAGGACTTTTGTTGTAAGTACCTAAATAATGGAAAGGTTTGAATGAAAATTTCACACTCGTTTGCGGTTTGTTGATTGATTTCTCGTAAGTTCAATAGTTGAGCAAAAGGTATGGGGTTCAAATGTTCAGCTATTGAAATGAGTTGGTATGGGCTTGCCCCATATTGCATAACTCTATATATTCTCACTTACGATACTTATGAATATAATAAAAGAGGTTAGAGGAAACCTTAAACCAGTAATTTACTTTATGAATTGTCGTGGTGGCCTGGAGGTTTAAGATTTTCGGATCATGCTCCAGAGTGAGGGTTCGAAACCTACCTATGACTGAGAAACGGTGAAAGAAAACATCGTGAAGTAACCTGGGCTTACAATTTCTAATTATAAGTTTGAAATCGCCAACCCGCATTGAGCAAGCGTGGTGATTAATGCTCAAACCTTCTGCGTGCAAGAATAGGCCGTTGGTTAGCAATAGCCACTTATAGGCTCTATGTATTTAGATAACATTATGATATTCCAAAAAATAGTTTAATTTACTTTTTTAACAGACGAGAATGGGAATATAAATGATTGTCTTTATACAGGAGATACATAAACGCATCAGTAACAAGACGCAGTATGAGACGAAGATTCGCATGGTACTGCGTGTATGCAGTCCTTTTTCCAATACTACTGCTCATAGTGACCATCACCATGGACCTCTCACCAGCAGTTCCTAGCACTTATCTGAAGCCTAATTTCGGGGTCAAGGGATGCTGGTTTAAAAGTAAGTTGGATTTTTATTACAAGTCAAACCTTTTTTTATGATTTCTCAGCCTCAGTACTGTGGAGATTTTTGGTCAGTTTGAATTGATAAGGTTGCCTTACTGGTCTAGTGGTTGAAAGTATATGCCTGACAGTGGATCTTATAATATTAGTATATTAGTTGGTTGAGTATAGAATTTTTGGGATTCAGACTTTTGAAAAATTTTCATACATAGGAAGATTTTTTACGCAGTTGTCTGTTCAATGATATTGAACATTATTAAAGATATATATATTATTTTTTACTTATGTTCTTCATGCTCCTTGAGGATCTTTTTTAACGTAGATACCATTGTCTGAACAACATTTTTTATATCTACGTCAGTTCGTCTGTCGAACAGATAATTCAATCTTCTTTCTACAATTCAGACAAGTATTACTTTCTATTAGCTTTCAAAATATTTTTCTTCATAAAATTCAATATTTGTTCGAGATATTTGTGACATTTTTTGCTCGTAGTTCGTTAGTGAAATCCGTTTATTATCAATTGCATTTTTGTTTGGTTTCAGTAAGATTGTTAAATGAAATCAAATAAAAATACTTTCAGTTTGATAAGGCTCGTAAACTGTAAAGATAAATAGTTATTTATTTATTTATTTATTGAATAGTGAATCCACAGCTACATTACATACATTTAGCAGAAGAATAGTAACATTGAGCCACTTACAGATTCACACGAATACTGACTTAATAGGTAACAGCTAAGACGAAATAAAAATTATAAATACATCAAAAACAGGCACACAGCAAGAAAATTATTTAAATATAGAAACAAAAGAAAGGTGAATACATATTTAAAATAAAAAAAAACAAAAATCAGCAATTTCGAAGGATTATAATCAATATAATCTAAGCGCTGACCTGAGCAGTTGGTAAAAATATAATGTTACATTTTTTAATTCCCTAGAGGGTAGGAACAGATGCATAGGCACACAATCATAACATCCTATATAGTTATTGCTGTTTCACAAAATATAAACAAGTACTTTGTTTTTTTTTATAATTTCTTTATTAAATATAAAAACATTATAATCATTATATAACAGACACGGTCAGTTTATAAGAATCATAGTAAAAATATGACTAAGCAGGCTAAAACACCTGTATTAATATTACAACCAAGTCTTCATATTACAACCGGATTTCACTTAGGTACTGAAAAACCCAAAATGGTTTTAATAATTTAGGAAAGTGTTAGCGTCTTAACTCAAATGTTTCGAGTCTTAATATTAATTCATTATTTTTTCTCACAGCGGATCAAGCAGCATTACCATACTTCTATGGACCAGTGGCGCTGATCCTCTTCAGTAACCTATGTATATTTTTCTTCACATCAAGAGCCATAGCTACACATTACGATAAACTAAAGGATGTTACTCGTAAGTATAAGGTTCTTTATTCATATCAGTAGGTCTTATGTATCTTTTCTAGTTTGATGAGAAACTGTCGAAATAAGTTTTTTTTTATAAACAAATTTATTTAGAGTTTAACGTTTAACGTTTGATGGCGAGAGTGATAGATAATATTAAAACTAAAGTCTAAACATTAGTCAAAGTTGAAGTAGTAGCACAGTGGTATGATAATGTAATATATTTTTTTACGAATGAAATAACAAACATTGGATTGGTGATTGTTTTTTACGGGATAAGCCGACGAGTTGACAGATCACTTGATGGTAAGCAATTAGCGTCGCCCATTGACACCCGGAACATCAGAAGCGTTACAAGTGCGTTACCGGCCTTATAGGGATTAAGCATTTGAGACTTGTTGGGGATTCAGGGATGGGTAGATTGGGAAGGATATTTGGGTCTCTGGTAACCTAACTCCGACGGCGAAACACAACGCAAACGTTGTTTCAGGCCGGTTTTCTGTGAGACCGTGGTATCACTCCGGTCGAGCCGGCACATTCGTGCCGAAGCATGGCTCTCCAACACTTAAAGATCATAAAAACATGAAAACCTTTATCTAATTTTATTTGACATTTGTTTACTTAATTCTATACTTAACTTATTTCTTACGATATTTTTTTCCTTATTCGTAGCTCATTATTCAATGCTTTCAAAGGTTTATCCTTCCTTATGGATAAGTCATAGGTTTGTGTATGCAAAACATTTTCTGTGGTTACTATCTTCATTTTATTGTTTACATCATGAAGACTGTTCTTATTATGTTAAAGTAAACTATTAGTTTACTATATGTACAATATGTATTTTAAAATAATTTATAAATTCCCCAAAAATACATTAGATTTACGACAGAATACAACCGAACTATGAGTTCTTAACCTTTAAAAATTATTACTGTATTTTCGTCACTAAAGTAGATCACATCTTTAATGTCGAAAAATATACGCCAACATAAGACCGGCCAGAAATTCAATTTGTTCGATTTAGGTCCGCTTTGCTAATTGAAATAATAAAACAATTGTTCCTAATTAGTAATAGCTGTTAATATTGACAGAATTTGGACAAGAAAGATACTTCCTTGTAAATGCTAAGCTTAATAACAGCTGTAGTGACAATTCACATCGGTCATTGTCCTTTTCTTAGTTATTTCCCTCGCTTGTTAGGATCGTGACTTGCGATTTAATGCTCTATTTTGGCATGCATTCTTCGGGTATTTTGTTATCCTGTGTCAGTCTTTGTTGACTTATGATCTCCGTGTTATTTCAAAGAAGTTTCTAGCCGTTTATCCTTAAGTAGTACTTTAAGAACCATCTTATCTTACCTTTCTCAAATATTAAATTAAATTAGTCAGCCATTAAATATAACGAGCATTTAGGTAAATAGTTAAACAAACAACTCTATTTCAAAGGGTACAAGGTCTAGATTATAATCTCATTTTTTCTTCTCAATAGCTTTAGATCTGACACACTCAGACTTCAGCACGTCAGATGACTGGGTACGGCTCAGATCAGTACTGGGGCAGCCAGTACCAGAAACAGCATCTTCACCACCACAAGAAGCTCCCACGAACTTCAATCAGAGGCTCAAGAAGTACAAGAAATTGTGAGTATACCTTTGTTCACGAGACTATACAAACTTTGTTTCAAAAATCTATTCAGAGATTTCATCACATATCGTAGATGGGTTACAAATACATATTTATGGCACTTTTGCGTGGTAAAATACGACGTGCTTTAGAAATTATTCAAGTTTTGCAAATAGTTCTGTGTTCTTTACAATTTTCTTTTATCCGATTCTGTATTAATATAACCTTTTTGTTACCAGGTTCCGTATGTGCTGCCTCCTCTCGTTCATCATGGGGTTGTCGTGGGTACTGGAAGTAGTGTCATGGGCGGCAGGTGCAGGCTCTGACGTCATGTCCGTTTGGTCGGTGTTCGACCTCGTCAACGCACTGCAAGGAGTCGTCATCTTCGCTATATTTGTATTACAACAACCCGTCCGTTCTCTTGTTAAGGTCAGTATAGGATAGATATAAAATAAAAACACAATTATACTAGCAGGACGTAATCAGTCAAGATACATCAATTCACGTAACAGTCGTTCCAGGTAACATTGGACCTAAAATGTCACCTTGGGCTACACCCTGAACAAACAAAGTAATATTTCATGTTCAAACATCTACGTGCAATTTAAATTACGTCTGGTTAGAGATTAAAAATATGTGTGGTTGAATGTTACAGCGAATTGGTGCAATTGTCTCTGAAATGACTATAACAAAAGAATTCTCAATAACGTCTTCAGACTAAAATAATATATTTTTCCAACAGTCCTCACATCTCTTCTCGACCTGCAAAAGGAAAAAGGACGGCTCAGAAGTGTCTGTAGTGAGTGAAAGAAATAGTATCATCGCAGGCGCTGGGAGAAGGGACTATGTGTAGTGCAGTGAAGTGAACGACAATGTAGTCAGTGATCAAGTGAATGATAGTGAACAAGACACGTCTCGTGAACAACTTGTTCACATTCAAGGTAATACACTCGAGACTGATAATGGTAACAGTATTATTGGCTTTGAAGATTTAGCGGTGAGTGGTGCTCCTCAACTATATGAATACGAAGGCAAAATAACAAATTATTTTATGTTATTACAAGTCCAAGTTCTTAACGATGCTTGTGATGTGGGCGATTGAGTCTATTAGAAATTTTAATTAGATATAAATATTTATGTTATACTTGTTGTTGAAAGTTATTTTGCAAAGCATCACAACGAAATAATTCTTGATCAAATTGAGTTTAACATCAATCCATAAAATGTTGTAAATAAAAATTGCACATTTCCTTAAATAGGATTACGATTTGCTTTGAAACCGCTCACATTGAAATCTTCAAAGCATTGCGGAGTAACTGTGAAAGGTGTATGAACTTCATTCATGATTTCATTCCTGTGATAGAGCCTTAAAACTTGTTTATAATATTATTTGCAAAAGTTCTATCGTCATTTTGTTTTGCTTGAATTGTTTGTTTGATAATTATAATTAGTGTAATTGTACGTACTATGAACTAACAAACTGTTTATAGGTTAATTTAAGCATTTAAGTTACCGTGTTTTATGGCTGGGTGCTCTAGTTGATACAACGATACACAAGGCTTACTTTATTATTTAAGTTACGTAGTTAATGCAATTGTTATATTGATTATGTTTGAGTTTATTCAAGGCAGCCGTGGCTAAGATCTGCCTAACCCAGCCTCGCTTGTTAAACATATGGTTGTTAATACTTAGTGTAAGAAAATTAAATATTTTTATAAAGTACATGACCAAGTTAATGATTTTATCTAAGCATTAGCTGATGTGACCTCTGCATCGGAACCTACATTCTTGATAGACGAAAATATGTAGTGCCATACGATAGAAAATAGTGAACTGAAAAGTGGTGCATTTGATTTCCTTTACGAGAGCTAGTCATAATTTAAAATTAATAAATGTTATAAGCAAGTAGGTTATTTAATTTATTTTCGTAATTATTATTAAGGTGGACATTTTTCGACCGGTACAGTTTTGTATCAAATTACTGGGTTTTGCTGGCAAGAACGTTTACGGTAAAGAAATGACGTCAACTTTTTGTTTTTGTTGTTAAACACAAAACATAATGTATGGATGTCCTTATCCCATTAGTTAGAAATACATAAAATCGTGTCTATTTCTCGCATTTTCTGAAATACAACATAAGAATTCTTTGAATTGTTGTTCAATAATTATCCTTATGCTATAAATAAAGAGGTTTACTAGTTAATGCTCAATGCTCATTCATAATTAACGGGGACAGGAAAATATTGTGCTTTGTATTTTTTTTGTATATATTGACAGATTCCATTTAGAATTAGCTTTTGGGGAATTCACTAACACTTTTTTAATAATTAAACTACATTTATATCTGCATTTATGAATGTTGTTTCTTATTTTGAATTATATGTTTGTCTTTATTGTTAATTTTTTGATTAAAAATTATTATTGCAAGAAGTTGACGTCATTTCTAGAGTCGAGGGTTTTAAACGACAAGAAGATGAACCGAAAATCCAAAAAAATAACAATAAATCCTGCAAAATTAACAAATGTTCACATTCAACTCATCCTATTGACTTTATAATATTATTTTATTATATTCTTTTGCGATTCAATCACTTAACTTATTTATTTATTTGAAACTAGCTTGCAAATGTTATCGGTACTAAATTTAAATAATATTCTGGATAAGACTGGTCGTATGAATAATGAAACGGGAATACGTAATAGAGTTATTAAAATACCATTACGTGTAGATAAGGGAATGTATGTGTAAGGTTTGATGGAGAATGCTAAAGGAGATGATAATATAAGGCCTGTTGGTCACAGCACGGCATTTGATGAATGCAACCTACAAAAGACGACCTACAAATATGACAAATGCTTGCATCTAGATTGGAAACAATGAAAACTGTCCACGATGCAGCATCGTCTCGGCAGCCTATAGTTATTTGTAGGTTGCGTGTATTCGTCAAACAACGCGTCGCTTGTGGACACTAGGCCTAAGTCGTAGTCGGTCGGGACCAAATGTTGCGCATCATGACGTCACTGTACTTTAGAAAATCTTCGCGTTGTTACATTTGAGACAGTCGTGCCCGTTTTCTGAATCACCTCCTAAGAGTTACTTAGCGTGATGTAACACCTAAACTGACTCCTTAAGTATCACTTATAAGTTAGTGAAATCCAAAATGTCATTAAATATCACCTAGTTGTTCAGGGGTTAAGAGAAGTTGATGAAAACGGTCATTGTCTCGTTTGCCAAGTGGGTTTGCAATGTAATTTATGAAATGTTAAGATTTAACTAACAATCTTATTGTGTTATAAGTGATATAAATTTATTTTATTCCATTTTCTTAATTAATATGTCGAGTAGAAGATCTTAAGTTTGTTCTACTTATGTTTAGGAATCAGGATATAATACGAAACTAGACTAACGTGGCAATCTTCCTCGAATTCAAGATATGTAAATAATAGATATTGTACGTTAGTTACTTAATAAAATAAGGTTCATTATTGCATGCAACGTTTTGTCCTTAACCGAATACGGAGATAATTCTATCCATGTTTTGAAGTCAGCTATGCTTTCGCTAAACATTATTTTTCGTGTGGAAAACCTTGAAACCAAATTAAAAAAACCCACGACAATAATTAGTATTATAACTTTAAGTATGTTTTTATTTGTTTAAACCCAACTGTTACGTTCTATTACGAAATATTGAATCTTTATTAACAGTAAACGAATATTATAATGAAAGTAATGTAAAGAGCTGAGTTTGTAAAAAGTGTATTTATCTTAAAAGCTAGAACATATTTACTATGTTTTACGAGACCGTCAGCCTCTGAACGAACTTTCTTCATAACTTTTACATAGCAAAAATTATTTTTAAAATCTAGTTTATAAGGTTGAAAATGCAGTGTCTTGTAATATATGGTAAACGTGTCTCGTGTATTAAAGTTAGCATGTATGCGTGTGTAATTATGTATTATATTAATTGTTAAATGTTGATGCGGATTTTTTAAGTGAAATGACAATTTAAAAGTGTATATTTGTCTATTTTGCAAAACATGACGTTAATAAACAAGCTTTATATAAAATCTTATTAGTTTTTTTATTTATAGAACTAATGTCCTAAGTAAAATAACACTGCCTCGTTGGCCGAGTAGTCGCCAGTGATCCCGGGCAAGGGTCTAGGTTTGAATTCCCGTGTCGGGGAAAGCACTATTGGGTTTTTAAAAAAATACTTAGTAGTAGCACTGAGTCTGGAATATTGCTCGGTTTATAATGCAATAGGTTCTATTACATGGAACTCATAACATAAATAGAGAAAAGTGTGTGTTACATTGTACTGTGACATTAAGAGCTGTAATGTGCACCTCTACCCTTGGAGCAGTCATTCGATGATTTTCCCCCCTTAAAAAAAAAAAAACCCTTACGGGGATAAAAGGCGTGATGTTATGTTATGTAAAATAACACTCATTTATAAACCTAAATAGAATATCAGCATCGATAAATTCATATAAACTTTAAGCACGACCATAAATATAATAAACAATCCCTAAACAAACTTAGCCAATTACGTTCAACTTTACTATTTGTATAGATTACTTCTGTATCGCAATTAGTTAAGGTCCATTGTTTGATCTGTCGTCTCAATTGGCATTTGTAATAATAACGGACCACAATAAGGGCTGCAGGAATCCTCATTCCCTAAGGGGGAAAGGATCTCAGGATCCCAATAAGGGGGGACGTTCTGCTTCCCACCCAGTAGACGTTAATCTTGCGGAATTCCGAGCAATTGCGGATAGATCCATCGCTGCGATCCGCTTCTCTCGATTCCGTTTCGAATTGCTGTGAATTATTTTTCGCATTACGAAGTCGACTCGGATTTGTGGTGAAGTAAGGTTTTGTTAGAAAGTCGATCAATGTTTTGAGTATATTGTGAATTTTGACAAATCCATCTTGCCCGGTGCGGTGCGGTTATTCCCGCTCGTCACCCCAAGCTTTGTCCCCTCCGGTGACAAGTGGGAATTATATTGAAAAAAAATCCCATATGTCACCCCCAGGTGACGAATGGGATTCCACTTAGAAATCATCCCAGTCGTCACCGCTAATAAAAGCTTGCTAAAACCATAGTTTTACATTGCGAATGGAAATTTGTTTTTGAACTAAATAATACAATAAAATTAGACAGCCAAAACTTTTTATTTGCTTTTATTTTCAAAATCAGGTTCTAAACGTTTTACATTCAACACAAAAGTATTAACAACAGTCTTTGCATATTATCACAAATCAACACAATTTACATAATTGACTAGGCTACATTCATTGGTTCAGTTTGAAAGTAATCACAATAGCATTACAAAATATAAAAAAAATAATATTAAAAAAATCTTAAAATGTATCTATACTAACTTTGTAATGCTATTGTAATTACTTTCAAACCAATGAATGTAGCCTAGTCAATTATGTAAATAGTGTTGATCTGTGATAATAAGAATTATTTAAAGTTAGTATAGATACATTTTAAGATTTTTTTAATATTATTTTTTTTATATTTTGTAATGCTATTGTGATTACTTTCAAACTGAACCAATGAATGTAGCCTAGTCAATTATGTAAATTGTGTTGATTTGTGATAATATGCAAAGACTGTTGTTAATACTTTTGTGTTGAATGTAAAACGTTTAGAACCTGATTTTGAAAATAAAAGCAAATAAAAAGTTTTGGCTGTCTAATTTTATTGTATTATTTAGTTCAAAAACAAATTTCCATTCGCAATGTAAAACTATGGTTTTAGCAAGCTTTTATTAGCGGTGACGACTGGGATGATTTCTAAGTGGAATCCCATTCGTCACCTGGGGGTGACATATGGGATTTTTTTTCAATATAATTCCCACTTGTCACCGGAGGGGACAAAGCTTGGGGTGACGAGCGGGAATAACCGGTGCGGTGGACTGATGCAAACTTGAAAATTTTGTCAATAACTACATTGCACTGAGTTTAACTAAGTGGAACAAACACTTTTTTGAAAACCGCATCAAAATCACTTCAGCCCATCTCGAGATAATCGCACAAACATACATATATATATACAGGTCAAAGAACCTCCTTTTTTTGAAGTCGGTTAAAAAACCACCGGATCCTAGGTCAACTTAACTTGTAACCTTCTTTATGGCACGTAAATATTTCGGGCAAGATAGTATTGCCACTAAAATTTCTTTTTTTCTTATACAGGTAAAAGGTAACTACCTAATATGCATTGGAGAAAGATATTACGTATTTCATACTGTCTCGTATTGGGAGTAATTCAAGTAGTCACTATAATTAGATTTTTTTATAGTAAAATTTTACATAGTGCAATCATTGTGTTTTCATAATTATCATTTTGACTGTACGGTTGGTGCGGTGGCTGGGCAACCGGCTGCCGTGCAACGTGTCGCGGTTTTGATTCCCGCACGGAACAACACTTTGTGTCATGTGTATGTAAACGCACCTACGACACAGGAGAAAATCCTAGTGTGGGCCAACGTTTATAAAAAAAATTAAGTTACTTTTGAAGCCATTGAAATCAAAGTTTCGAGAAACATTATTAGTATTCTTGGTAGTTTCTGTGTCATATTTTCAGTAGGTATCTACATATATTATGGAATTTTCTATTTTACCTGGTGCTTAGTGGAGTCGGACTAATAATTGTCCACTCAAGTGGCGAAAACGTTTCTTTCAGCGGAAAAAAGAGGCACGATTTCATTGTAATAGAAAGATTTTTCTTAATTAAAGATTTACTACGTTTTTCGTAGTTTTTTTATTTTCTACATATCGCCACCTCCTGCATTCCGCCATTCATAAATACAAGCCATCACCATCAATTTCACACTCTATAAACGTAAAAAGAATACACTACCGCTACCTCCTATAATAAACACGCTTTGAAATATGGCTTCCCAAAGGTTTTCCAACTAGGGGGGGGTAATGGTGTTGCTCTGTTTATAGCCGAGTGTGATTGATGGCCTCTTATCTACAGGTGCACGTAGCCCCTGAAATATGGACCTTGCATATTTGGGGGATTAAGGAATAAAAGTAGTGTGGCGCCTGCCAGTACCGTCTTTGCTATAAGGGCATTTGGGGCCCGTTCCCGGTCCCGAAAAAGCGACAATTTCGTCATGTATCATGTGTATGTGAACTTGTATTTTTGTAAATGTACCCACGATACATGAGAAAATCCTAGTGTGGGGCAATTTTTGAAAAAGTAACATTTTAAAAGGGCCCTGAATTGGGTAGTTTCCAGGGTATCAACATTAAAAATCTTATTAGTCCGTCAATAATTAGATAATAAAAAAATATTTGAAACGTATTTTTTCATTTTCTCGTATTAAGTTGCAAAACTTAGATAAAATGGTG